GAGAATTGAAGGTTTTGGGGTTCTTGGATTGATGCAGGCTTGTCATTCTGCCAGCAGCATGCAACTGGTCTGGAAGGCTGTCAACTCGAACGGGCTGGAGTAGGTGTAGTGGTGTCTCTTCTCCTCTAGCGTCTTTTCAGGATCTTGGCTGAGATACATGTAGATGAGCTGCTAAAGTGGGATTGGCGGGCAGTCAGCATGGTGAGGGCTCACCACTGCATGCCGGTGTTGGCTAGCCTGGAGCTTTTGACTTCTAGCTGGTAGCACGGTTTGGGGGGATTCGAGACAACCAAGCTCGCAGCGTGGATTTACTTCAGCTGAACCCTTTGCATGGCGAATTGACACTCACCCGGGCTTGCTGTGTCCTCAGGCCAAGCCCTGACATTTGTCGTTTTCACAACCTTCACGTGCCGTCAGGATTATGGCAGGACCCGACCATCCGAGTCATCAATACCTTCTAGATGCCAAACGCTAGGGGCTATCTAGGAAGGGGACGAAGCCAAAGCAAAAGCCTTGGAGATGCTGGAAGGAAGGGTCAGACAAAGCGTCTGGGTCGTTCTTTATTTCCCCTATTCATATGCATGTTTACCTGCGCAAGTAAGCTCAAAGTCCACTCTCATCCAGCTGAGTCTTCCTGAAAGTGTGAGTGCTGGTACCAAGACTTCGCCCGATCCGCAACCTGAGTCGAAGAATGCCTACACGAGACCCAGCTGTCTGACAGAACCGAATCTGCTTGCAAGAAGACTACCTTGGGTTATGCAGTTATGCTAAGAAGAATAAAATGTTTCAAGACGCTGCGCACACGGTTCCTCCTTTTTGGAGTCTCCAAACGAGGGACCAGAGCAATTTTGAGCAGCCCTCGGTCTCAGGCGCGCCTGAGCCTCAGCGTGAGATGCGGCCGCCACGACCAAGACCTAAGCAGGCAACAAGGGAGCTTTGGGTTTAGGGTTCAGGACATAGGGTTTGTTGTTTCAGGTGTTTGGGTTTTAGGCTTTCGGGTGTGGGGTATAAAGGTCTTTCGAGCGCATAAGCTTGAGGGACTGATTGCGTTTTTGAATCTGGAGCCAGACGTCAACGGGCGCCGTCGGAGTTGCCGGCTGTATCAGGGCGTGAGGGAAAACCGATTCATGGCTGCCAGTTTCCAAGCTAGTCGGCAAGCAGGATAGGATAAGCATGACAGGAGGTGCATGCGCAGCTGTCCTCACCTGTACATTCGTCAAATTATTCTCAATACTTCCGGGCGAGGGCAAGACCCTAAACGGCTCAAAGGCTTCGGACAGCTCAGGCTGCTGAGTAGAAAGACTCTAGGAATGGAAGCGGCCAATATGCGCGCCTTTTCTTACTTGGAGTCGCGTTGGCCGTGGCAAGCTCATTGGGCAATTGACGCCCTTATCACCACAAGCTTTCTGGCTCCCCTAAGAGGGTGGACGGGCTGCTGCCGGTAGTTGTCTGAGCCACTAAAGACAGATGCAGCGTGCATTTGAGATGCCATCCTTCATGTGAGTACAGGAATGGGTGGGAAGAAATCAAAGTTCGCCCTTAAACCCTAACACCGCAAACCCCGAACCCCTCAACGCTAAACCCTCAGCCTTACAGTCTGCGGACCCACTGCTGTCACGGAAGTCCGCCAGGATCAGGAGCTCTGGGCACAGGAGCGGGAACGTCAAGCCAAGCGCCCTGTCTCTCAAATAGAGTTATTTGAGCTTATATAGAGGCATGTAGAGGTTGGGGCGAAGGGTATTGAATTGTCCCTATGTCAGCAATCAGGACAAAAAGTCTTTCGGGCTAAGAGAGCGGGGGAGCCCTCTCAGCCACCATATGATTTCAGGGTGGAGGGTTTCGGCTTGTAAAAGATTTGTGTTACCAGCTCATGCTTGGTACCCGTAAAAGCCCTGTAAGAATGCCTGCAGACTTGAATTCCAGGCAAGCGGCCAAGCACTTTAATCGCTTCCCCTATGATTAAACGACGTCCCCCCCTCCTCCGTAACATCAAATAATCCGGGGCCCGACAAAATATTTAATAGTGAGGAGGTTATCCATTGAAGGAATTAGATAGGGCCGTCGTTAAAATCCTTCTAAACCCAAGGGAAAATGAACACCTAATGAATTACCTGCAACATCAATTAGTTAATTGATTACATTAATTCTGAGAGTTGGATCTTTAGTCAATTGATCGTATTTAAATCTAATTAACCAATTGGAAAATAGATTCATAATTTGATTCGGTAGTAGGTTGCCCTTACTTTTAAAGTAGTCTTGCCCTTTTCAAAATGCTCTGCCGAATTCTTAGGCCCCTGAGTGTATTGTTTAATATTAGGGGGTCCTCAAACTGACATGGAACCCTCTGTCGACAGGACAGTATGGGTTTCCATGTTGGCTGTACAATCCCGGTCACCTTGGCCAAAGCTTGGTGTGGTAGTTCCTCACGTAGCCCAGGAGCATCTACCGCAGTCTGGCGGCGTCCCCAACACCATCGCAACCTACGTCCTCCAGCGGAGAGGTCGTGGGGTCAGCTTGGCTTCCCTCATACCAGGTAGGATCTCAGGGACCAGAAGCTCAAGTCCCAACGTACACCATAGCATGGCGAAACGAAAGGGATGATCTGGATCTAGGGCTTTGAAGGCTCCTGAGCAGTGTATTGGGCTACATTACATAGCAAGGGTGCAATTCCGGTCCCTGAGCAGCGCGTCCTACTCACAAAGCCTTTTGATGCATGTCCGTGTTTACATGTACGCATGTCGCTATGGAGGGACCCGTGAAGTTGCACACACCTTACCCAGATCCACTGGCAGTATGCGTGCGAGACCTCCAAGGGGTTTCCTTACAGAGTGCCCTCATTAGCCCGGCAAATATTCGGATCAGGAGTATCAGGGCTCTTGAGAAGAACCAGTAGTGCTTAGAGCCTGGAATGCTGCTTACTGACTCAGATGTGTGTAGGGGGCTTTCACTGGAGTTAAAGAATGCAGCCCTTCTCACGCACGTGCGCTCAAAACACGGGAAGCTTGTACGAAATTGCTGGTATGCTCCGTAGTCTATCTACTTCAGCAGGATTATTGGGGGATAAAGAGAGACGACACATACATGCATGCAATACAGACCCCTGCGCTTCAACTGTGTTTTCTTCTGTCATGGCTTTGAGCAGGTGGTTAACAAGTGTCGCTTCGATGCTGGGTTTCTCAAAATAGCTGGTCCTGGGAGAGTCCTTGCAATAGGAAGTCTGTTCACTTATGGGTATACATGACTTCGCCTTTTGAACTGTAGCTGTGAGCAGTTTAAAGCCTTGTAAATCTGACGGACTGTTGCGCAGGTCGCCTTGTCTACCATTCGGATTTCGGCCGTAGGGGTGTGCGAATGAAGGAGAGACTACCCGGGCTTCGGAGTAAGCGCTGCAAACTCCACTCTTGGAGCTCCTGTATAAACACCGCAGAGAACGTAAGCTCCTTGAATGAAGAATGCCGCCTTAGGCTGAGCCGCTAAGTGTTGGGTGTCCTAACCTCCATAAGTTGTGTCCTTGCCGTACCAACGTTTCAAGCCCGGCTCACCTGTCTACGTAACCCTTCCAAGACCCCTAGGACATTTGGCACATTCTTTGATGAGGTTAAACACAACATACCCCCGACTGAAACTTGATGCTCAGCAAACCCTCGCCCCGTACCCAAACCTTCCTGTATATCTTCCCATGATGAATTTTGCGTGTTCCAGACGGCAACTGTTTTCAGTAGCGGGTCAGCGATGTTAAGATTACAGCTTACAATGTAGCCTGTGCTAGTGTTCAAGACAGTATCAGATCACCATGACTGTAATTTATGCTCTAGCATCAGAAATTAGAAGCGGACAACTGAAGCAAGGAGATCTAGGACCCCGCTCTGGCTGGCCAGAAGAATGCCCGTATCATGCTTAAGGAGTTAGTTGTTCGTGCACGAGCAGGTGATAATAAGAAGAAGCATGTAAACACCCGCGTATGAGTCATACTCCGGAGGCTCACAACCTGTGCAACCCCAAAAGCTACCATGCCTTCATAATTCGACCTTCAAGTGACGTGTACTTCGAGCCTTTCAAGAGCCCAAAACCAGCTTGCGCTGGCCCATGGCTCCAGAATGCAACGAGCAGCGGCAGCCAGAGGACCGTGTAGGATTCAAGGCTTTTGGTTTTGGTGTGAGGTAGTTTCTGTTTCAGAGGGGGTTTACAGCGATGATCGAGCAGGCCATGTCAAGAATGACAGACTTCATGCAGCAGTCGAGTCTAGCTGCCAGTGTACGGGATTGAGTGCGATTCTGGGTTGGAAGGATTCGAGGGCTTGAATTCTGAAACAGGCTTCTTTCAGCACTCGAACATTTGCAACAATTATTTCACCTCGAGGTAGTCAAGGAACTTCCCCCAATTCGGATTCCTATGTAGGCGCTTCTTGTGTGAGGTTCATGATTTTTTTCTAGTAGGTTGTTGTTACAACTCTTGGACCATTCGCCATTTCTCGGCAATGCCTGGTTTGCAGGTCACGTTTGCCACTGGGCCGTCAGTCTGACACAGCCTTAGATTTTTTCGAGCAGTATGAGAGAACTTTTTGTGGAATTGAATGCTACTCTTTTGGCTGCTACCGCTATGAATCTCATTGAGCATTTGCCGAGGTGGCTTCAGGTAGCAGAACCGCCATGATGCTTGTAAGCCCTATTGCCGATCTTGAACGTTGTGCTGCGACCAGTGTTAGTCTTTTGAACTGATATAGCTTGATGACTTTGCCATTGCAACAATTGCCAACAAGCTATTTCACTGTGAACCCTGAACCCCTAAACGCGATAGTAGTCTCCATTTCAATCTCCAATCGGTTTTCTTTTGGTTCTCCATTATCCCTACAGCCTAGGCCGCAAGCTGGTGACAAAGCTCGTGGGGTTTAAACATCTGATTGGCCCTATTGCTACCCATTTTTTTGGGGGTAGGGGTTATATTGGGATCGTGGAAAATAAAATGGAAACTATGGAAAATGAAATGGAAACGAGTTGCAGGACCCATCCGGTGACGATGGGACTCCTGAACCGGAGGTGCCTCGTGGAAGACGGGGGCTTTAGGGTTGAAAGGCTTAGCGTTGCGAGTTGAGAGCTGGTTTAGTGACTTGGCCTTTTTTTCTGTGCTCCGAAGCGCGGGTATGGGGGACTTGGGTGATACAGGCACATGCTGTGACAGCTTTGATTCACTGAAGTGAAATGGGCCAAAGCTCTGAGAGTGCACTGCGCGCCCCTAGGCCTTGAACAGTAAACCCAAACCCAAAATGACTAAAGATCTATGAAAATGGCGCGTCCTTCTTTGGGAGTGTTAAGGCACTATTACTTGGGGTCCATCGGCCGCAACCCAAACTAGATTCTCCCTCAGGTGGCTGCCCCCCGGGAAATCCCGGAAAATGCAGTCTGGCATTTTCCATGGCAGCCGGGTACCCAACCTGAAATCTTGCCGGAGTCGCCTGGTGAGGAATCTTCAGAAGGTTGAGGATTCAGGGTGTCTGCTGCATAGTAAGGCTTCAGGGTTCAGGTTGCGCCTCCCGTTCAGTTGTGCCCTGGGGAGAAATGATCGGCTGGGCCCGTGACAGTTCAGAAGCCACAGGCACATAGAATATATGGTAGTTTGCTTGTGGCTGCCCTAGGAGCTTGAGTTGCCTACCTTGGGACTGGGGGATTCAAGAAACAGCAGCTCAGAAACCGGGAGTCCTTCTGTCACTCTGAATCTCAAAAGCCCCAATCCCCAACCCCCAAACCTTCCTCCCTACACCTAAAAGTCGCTAGCTCGTGGGTCTTGGAGTCAAAGCAAGGTTGAGACTCCAACCTCTGAACCAACACCCTACCCTCGGCTCTTGGAGGTTTTCGCCATCGGCACCTAAACACTTAGCACCAAAATCTGCACATCCCTCAGACACAGGCCACCGGAACTCTCCGAGCTCCCACTGTTCCCCAGCGAAGCGCCGCAGCATGAAGGGCGCCTGTTTCACGGCGATGCTGGACGACCAGAAGCCCGGTCTTTTGTAAGACTGTTGCGGCTTTGTGGGCTCTAGGGCTTGGATTTTGAAGGTTCAGAAGGCTCAGGGTTCTAAAGGATTGGGGTGAAGGGTTTGGGATGTTAGAGTGTGGGGGTTGTATCTTCGAGAGTTCACGTTTCAGTGATGTGGCTTTCGAAAGGGATGGTCTCATAGGGTGTTTTCTCTGCTGTCTCAGAATCAGAGAGACTTTTTTTTGGGTCTGTTTTGTGTGAAGGTTATTGTGTTGACAGACCAAACATTTTGGGAGGGAGCCTCATGTGGAGAAACGTGCAGGGCTTCAGGCTCAGGATGATTTTTGTGGACAGACGGGCAGTACCAAACCTGTGCAATGGCTCATACTCACGCCAACCCCCAGGTAAACAACCTCTCTCTCTCTCTCCCTCCCTCCCTCCTAAAATGAACACAATATGTTGGCCTCTTGGTACTTTGACTAGCGTGGTTTTTGGAATAGAGGTGCTTGCTAGCCGGCTCAAGAATATGGACCTCTTTTTGCTACCGAGGAGCTCGCTGAGTTCCCCGCTGATGCTAGTCCGCAAAGTGGCAGGCCAAGGAATGCCATAGTCTCCGCTGCTTAGGGATGTAATGCTGTAGCAAATATGTATAGGTCCATTCAGGACCCTGACTGTACAGGGGTCATCCGGGTTCTTTAAGCGTAGTCCCTGTGGCGATTTTGGTGAGCATATCAAACGCGTAGTATCTGCACAAGTGTTGTTTTGACGCTACCAGCGCTCCATGGGGAATGCATTCCAAAGAGCTGCGTAAGCCCTTGCCCAAGCCCTTCGCGCACAACCTTGAACCCTCCTTTGCAAAATCTAAACCCAGGACATACCTGAAGTTCTTGCACGAGCAGTGTCTGAAGGAGTTGAGACACAACCGCTGGCCTACGTCCAGGGGCTCCCCTCAGTTGCTAGGTCTATCGGGTTTGCGGGGTTCATAGGTTGTGGAGAGCAATTAGCAGATCAGCGCAAACAAGGTTTGTAGGGCTGCTAGGGTACGGGGTGTACGGGGAGTACAGGGTTACGTGGCTTGGTGTATAGGATGCAGATGATAGGACTTGGGCAGGATCTGTGGCGCGTGGGATCCCTGGGTTCTGTGAGGGTTTGGGGCTTGTCGCCACGAATTTTGTAGCGTGCTTCCTCGTCAACCCGAGTGTTTCTCAATTTGTTATGCTGCGTCTCTTGTTCCTGTAGTCAGGACGACATGTGTTGGGTGAAGAAGAGACGGACTGCAGTCTGCGAAATACTCACGCGTGAAAGCCCTCACACGCTGGGCCGCTCTAATTATCGTGCGCTGTGAGTCCTCACAAGTTGGCGGGATGCTCTTGAAAATATGGTGTCCAGAATCTAGAATCAGGTGCCCTAGACCTGAAGCCACAAATCATTTCCATATCCTGATCCCAAACCTTTCATGATTGCATGGTTTCTAAGCCAATCTCAAGCTCAGGTTACCCTCACATCTGCTGCCGGACTACTGAGTATCTCAGCTGGCGCTTTTAACCCGCTGTCCACGCCCCTGGGCTCCGAAACAATGGGTTTATCTTCAGTAGACTAAGAACATAGAAGCCCAAGATAGATGCAAATAATAATAGTGTTGCATCCGTTCGATCAGCATAAAGGAAGATTGTTGATCCTAAGACCCTACAGTTCTAGCAGCCCCCAATCCAAAATTGGTAAGACCGGACTCACTTCCCCCCTCAGCGGGGTAGCTGACTCTACTTCTGATACATGCAGATGTACATACATACATACCTACGTACGTACGTACGTACGTACATACCTGCCTACCTGCCTAATTACCTGCCTACCTGCCTACCTAGCCACACCCCTTTGCTGCATACGTTGTACACGCATACGCCTAGTAAGAATGATCCTTTGAACTTGATAAAGAGTGCTCTCTGAAACAGTCGAGGAGAGGCTCTAAACTTAATCCCTAAGCCCTAAGCGCCAAACCACGATCCCTAGCTTTAGTTGTAGTTTATACTCTTCATTAAACATTGACTCAGGACCCCACTCCGAATACACCATTGCAAAATCAAGCAGAAACTAACTAGACTGAGAGTAAGGCCAGTTTTTCTTCTGCCAGTTGCCGGGTCCTCACTATTCCACAACTTTTGCCTTTGACGTGCTTTTGCGCTCCAAATCTGGCCCAGAAGTGGTTCGTTAAACTGGGTTGCTGTTCCGTAGCTCAAATTAAGTTGTCAAAATATGGATATATATTAATTAATAGGACAGCAACCCAGTAAATCTAGGGGGCTTATGGATCAAGAGCTCGCATTAGCAGAAAGAGCAAACCTCCTGAATGCCCGCCCGTTTGACTCGAATATCATCTTGGAAGCTCTTCCTGGCTTTGCGTAGCGCTGACGTCTAGGATGTAGGGAATGTTAGGGCTTAGGGATTTAGGGCTTAAGGTGTGGAGGCAGCGGGGTTCCTATGGTAGACCTAAACTCCGACCTGATACTTCACTTCCCATGTATTCTCATCCTGCACAAGCCAAGGCCCCTATATCCACGGGTCCATCAGCTACAGACCCCGAACAACTCGGATTCCGAAATCCTCAAGCTTTAAATCCAGAACTTTACATCCCTTGGTCACCCTGTGCCTAAGAACCTAACCATTTAAGCGACCCGAAGCTGGACCCGCAATCGAAGAAAGTCCTAGAACCTAAGCCCTATGGTAGTTTCCCAAAACAAGGGGACCCTAATCTTGAGCCAAAAAGAGTATAATCCATATTATGGGAACCCCAAAATAGTACCCATAAGTTGGAAAATCCCCCCATCAAGCCCGCCTTGACACACCAGGGCTTGTATAGGGATAATGGAAAAGACAATAGCAACTACTATATTATATGCCAGTTTCCATTTCATTTTCCATCATTGCATTTTCCATTTTGTTTTTCATTTAATTCTCCATTATTGGGGTATTGTACCCGGCCATAAAGCCTAAATCCAGGGATAGTGGACAAGAAAATGGAAGCGATTGTATTATAATAGGGTATATGTTTGTACAAGCCCGAGTTTTTCTCAGGCTCTACACTCCTGCCAGCCCCTCGACCATGAAAAAACGGAAGCAGCGAAACGAGCAACGGCGGCAGCGCTTGAAGGAGCTACTCGCCTCTGTCTGCTTTTGATAGAGGGTGTAGCGTGTGGGGTCGAAGAGTTCAGGGTTTAGCGGGTTGAGCGCAGCGTATCCTGCGCCAAGTTTTTTTGTAGCCAAGTGATTCCAACTAAAATTTGGCGGGGTCCTGTACTCTAGAGATGTTGCCTTGATGAACTAGTCTCAGTCTTCTCAACAGTCTGCCTGCAGCTTCCAGCATTATGGGATGGTACACAAACGGTAAGAATATCATATTCGCCCTGACTGTAAGCAGCCCAGAGTTGTCAGACGCGGTGTTCATTATGCCTGGATGTAAATGGGACATGTCGCCCAATGGACAATTCCACGAGCTGGAAGTTTTGGGGAACAGTCTGCAGAATAGGGATCTTAATGGGCCCTTTTTCGACAATACCCTCGAAGGCGGCCTGTGGTAAGGGATAGCTTCTTCCTGAATTGCGGATGAGTATTCTGCGAGGCATGGAACCTCAGGAGATTTGACAGGAATCCAGTTTTTTTTTTCTGGGCTCAGTTGCTTTGCACATGATTGTAATGCGAGTGGATCATCTGTGCACTGCGAGATGGGAAACCCCTGAATCTGCTTTGGCGACCCCAGTGCGCAAAAGCGCTGAGCAGCATCTGGATGACTTGCACGTTTGAGGGTTGCAGCTTGGGAAGCGTTCGTTTCCAGGAAATTTTACTGATACTCAAGGGCTTGGATTTGTCGACCTGTGGGGCGCTTTCTGGGTCATACCTACAAATTTTGCATGGAACACCATCGCCTAGTTTACGATTCAGCAGGTTCATTTTTCCCTATGCAGCGTAGCTCAAATCCCGACTGCAGCCTTCAAAGCTCTCAAAAGCCTCGATGGGAGTTTTCCAAAATGGGGGTGCCCTAGGGATCCCTGCACCTTCTGGCCAGTAGCAGTACAAGGGGATAACATGGTTTGAGCAGCTCCCACATCCTTAGCCTGAAGCCCTCAGAGCACAATGATCCGTCTTGCCGTCACCCTCCTGGCATCTTCGTGGGTGGCGAGTACAGCGATCTCAGACACTCGGGTTGCACAAGCAAGTTTGGGGATTCTGGGAATGCCGACAATATCGATTTTGGCATTTTAGGGCATTAAAACGGTCCTATCTTTAGACGCTGCCATGGTAAGAAAGAGCACACTTCTCGCATAGGCTCTTGTACGATATACTGGGAGAGCCAACTTTTTCTACCCTAATCGGAGATCGGCAAACTAACGCGGAGTTTTGGGCTGGAAAGCCGCAATGGCGTTCCAACTGTTGCACAATTTTCTGCACTTCGGAAAAAACGTGCCGCTTCTTCCCTACGCCCTACGTCTTAGACCTGCATGTCAGCTCGCTGAGCCTTTCCGAGGATATCTATTTTCCAGAATTTCACGTGCGGCCGCCGCAGTCTTTTCACTGCATTTGGGTAGTGCCTCAATGAAAAGATTTCCCGAAAGTCCAACTGTAGTTCACGCTGGATGTCAACCCGTCATCAGAAGTGCATGACCTCACTTAGCTTACTGCCCTGCTCTTTGGCATCCTTTGGATTTTTGAGGCTGGAACTGTTGGCTTTGCAGTCAGGGTTTAAGTAGTAGCCCCTTAGTGTCGGCGGTTGTGCTGATGGCATGTGAAGGTCTTAATCAAGAAAAGGATTTGGGCTTGTGTGTGGGCCGTATCTGTAGTGCAATGGCCTCCGTAATCAGGGTTTGGTTGCAGTATACCTACACTCGGAATGTGCGGGAATAGTGTGCGTAGTCCATCATGGGGCTCCTAGAAACTTCTGTTGCCTATCTCTATGACTGAAGATTTGAGGACTAGGCAGGCTCCTAAACGAAGATAAACGAAATCTTGGTCTCAGGTGTTGTAAGGGCTTAAATGTACCAGAACGCTGTGAATCGCGAGCCTTATTGCACTAGAGGCCATGACGGATAGAGGAACGTCTCAGCAAGTCAGAGAAACAATGATTCCATGGATCCTGTGCTTTTGGCAGAAGGCTACAAATGACTTGGTGATTCATTGGGTCGGGCGTTAGGGTTGTACACTGCTGTCAGACGCTCTCAACCCTAGAAGCCCTGCGTTACAAGTCTAAGCGGTCCCCACCCCTCGCCCAGAGTGCAGACTCACAGAAGGTATTTTCCGCTCAAAGAGTTGGCTTCGAGAGGGATTCGAGATCCTTTTGTCACAAGGTTTTGGCAGTTGCTTGCTTTGCGTGGGGCTGCTTGGTCTCAGATTTGCACCTTGGGGGCGTTAGCATTTTCTGTGAAGGTACTTCTGCAAGGCTTTTTGCTAAGAGCTTCTTGGAAGGAACTGGATCAACGATCCAAACGGCCCATTCCGGGATCCGAAAACTGGCATCATCCACCTATGGATGCAGTACAACCCTGACGGGGCGGACTGGGGCAATATGTCCTGGTACCACACAGCAGCTTGCTTTGAACGGGTTCTTTGAACACTGTACGGGCTAAGAGGCTGAAACCGTTGTGCTTTGCAGAGTCCACTCTCCACGCTCTGCACGCTCAGTAACTCAATAGGCACCATGATCATGCCTGTTCGGTCCCACTCTCCATTTCAGCTTGCTGCACATGCCTTTAGGGAAACGCATGCAATGCAATTTTATCGGCCTGCCCTTGCCTGAACAGAACAATTGCGGTGGTGCTGAGCTTGTCTGGGGTTCCAGGTGAAAAGCTTAAGGTTTGGCGGGGGCTATCTGTGCAGTGCGCAGGTAGCGCAGAATATCAAGCTGTGAGGCCCTGTCCTGGAGTCCTTGAGCTTGAAACGTTCCAGATGGTTTGAAGCATTCAA